CTTTCTTTCTTCTCTCCTTTTTCTCTCTCTTCATCTTCTCTCTTTTGCTTTTTCTTCTTTTTCTCTCTCCTTTTTTCTAGTTTTTCTTTCCCTCTTTCTCTCTCTCTTTATTCTCTCTCCTCTCCTTTTCTCTCTCTCTCATCACAACATGCTTAACAAAAAAAGCATATACAACAACATAGGTAGTACATGAAGTTTTATTTGTCACCAGGTTTAAAACTTTGAGAAAACCTGGTATTTACTGTAAAAAAGCAACATTTATGTTTATTAACTATACTAATATGCAGTGTGTTCTACCCTGTACCCCCCATCCTGGTTTTGTTTTTCTGGCATATCAGCACTCTGTCACCTTACAAGGTAGACATCGCAGTTTTTTCAGCACTCTGGCCAAAAACGTTGCTTGCCCCTAATTTAGAGCATTAGCACCCCCTGAACAGGTGGAGATACCAAACATGGCCCTTAAAAACTATTATTGACAAGGACTAGAGCCAGAATGGAAAAAGTGAAGTAACAACATCCTGAAGGAATTTGTCTGGAACCTTCAAGGAAGCAGTGACAGGTGTCAGGAAATGGGAGAGGAACTCAAGGGAACAAAAAGAGGTTCTCCAGGCACAGGGAAGTAGGCACAAAAAACAGGGAATCTCTCTCAAGAGGTGAAGGGAACAGGGGGAATCCCTCAAGAGAGCAGCCAAGAAACATCACAATGTCATTTTAAAATACACGACTGCATAGTCAGTCATTATGCAAATTTGATTTGTGAGACTGATGAGAGGTATTCAGCACAGAGTCCAGCTAGTTCATGATTTCAAACAGGATGCTAACATTGCCTGGAAAAGATACTGTAAGCAAGTCTGGCACATCGATTCTCAGCTGCCTTTCAAGATGGAATCCTTTCATGTTTGTTAACAGCTTCACAAACATAACTGTTAGCTATTCCCACAATGCTCACAACGTTCCTGGAGACTGCTATTCCTCATCTGCTCTCCCGAAGGAAGGAACTAAAAATTTAAATGAGACCCACAGATGGGCATAGTATATACATTACACTATTAAAAAAAATACATATGCACACACATACATTTATGTGCAGTGTCCATTTACAGAGAGCCAGTTATGAAGGAAGGGAGACACCCATCTCTGTCCCTCCCAGAGTGAAAGCAGCTGTCACTCTCTGCAACTATGTCTCAAAACCACTCACCATCCCAACACTATATAAAACTGATATCTGTGAGACAGACATTTGGTCAAGCAAGGGCAAAGCTGCAGCTGTCTCTCCCTGACAAGGTGCAAGCAGCCAGATACAGAACTCTGAAATGCACAGAGACAAGAGAAAACTAGGCAAATAGAAGCTCAGTGTCTAGAATTGGACTGTCTTTTTAAACTATTTCAGAGACCCAATGAATGTCCTTTTGTCACCATCAGAACAAGGGGAATAAATGTCATCAGCTAAAAAACACATGAAAGGCAATATCGAGAAAGTAAGTGCATGTCACTTTAGGGAGAAACTTCAGCAATCTAGACCCTATAACTAGGGACCTACTTAACTTGTGGCAAAACTAAGCCGTTTTCGCAGCTCGCTCCTGGCACGAAGGGCCAATTTTGCAGGCATTTCCGGGCAGCCCCGCTTTTTGCCACTGATTGGCAGAGAGATCCTTACATCACCACACACTGGCAGAGACCCCGCCATCACCACAGAGAGTAAGTCTCAAGCACGTGAGGCTGGCTGCAAGGATTGCCACGTTGTCTATGTATTGCAGTAAGGATTGAGAGGTTCTAAAACAGCCTATCATATGAATAATACGCTAGGGGAAGGAGTTTGGGTTGACTGCATGGGAATATTTCCTGGTGGTAGTGGACACCACCAGTTGCTGCGGTTTCCAGAAAAACTGCAAAACTGCAAATCAGGTAGGTTAATTTGTAACTTGTAACAGGGCACTGGCCCCAATGCACCTGTTACAGCCCCCCTTTAGCTTTTCAACTATGAGCTTTGGTCAAGGGTACACAAATAAAAGTAAGCACGTGACCTACAAGAAGAAAGATATTTGGCTTCCTGCATTTTAGGCAAGAGAAATACTGACCAAAGATGAGAAAGTCATAGTGCAGATTTCTCCACAGTAGCCTAGAAAAGTGCCTTGCACACCAGCTGGATGAAGCCAAAAAGACCTCAGCTGGTTATTACATAGTAATGGGTTTTGGAGTATGTTTGGGAAATAAAGCAATCCCTAAAGAAAGAGGTATAAAAAGATCTGCAGTTTGGTCTTTATGTTTCTATCTCTGACTGGTATGCACACCAGCCTATAAGGCCTTAAATGAAAATAACCTGAAAATTGTAGAAATAACAATAATTCTGTTCAACTATAGTTTTATATGGCCTCCATGCCTCCTGTATTTGAGG